GGGAACGGGGCCGGGGAGTCGCCTTAATTGCGCTGAATGAGGCTTTTCCGCATGACAGAGTTCTGGGAAAAAGCCGTGAAACCCGTTTTAGATATTCTGAACTCGTGGGCCTCTCGTCACTTTTCTTTAAGAAACTCTGAAAAGCTGTAGTTGTGAAACACCTTCAGATACCCTTTCTTGCTTATTTCTTAATCCCCTAACACACACAGAAACTACAATTACTATTTTCTCTTGATGTAAGTACATGTAATTCCTGAAAAGAATGCTCATATCTTCACTACCATTTACTGGTGATATATGCGTGTTGTTACATCTTCCTGGTGAGCCAGATCTTTTTAATTTCTGCTCAGAGGAGCAAGAGAGACCAACCTGCAAGGAGGTCTTAACAGTAGACTCAGCAGCAAAGTGTGGTCCTTGGAGAGTTACTGTTCAAACTGTCAGTGAATCACATTCTGTTCTTGGTTGTTTTCAGACCTGCACAGCTCACCACTGTGGGGAAACGCTGCTGCTTGTGGATTCAGGACTTGTGCATGGACCTGCAGAACCTGGAGCGGGCTCGGGATGACCTGCGCTTTCGGGGTGTAAAAGGCACCACTGGCACTCAAGCCAGCTTCTTGCAGCTCTTTGAGGGGGACCATAGTAAAGTAAGTCAGACAGCCCAGGGTGCAGACTTGCAGTCTTGGCAATTTTCCCCTCTGGTATGCTTTTCTCTTTGGGGGACATGGAGATTCTGGCATCAAATTCACAAGGGCGCTGTGATCCCTCTGGGGTCTGCTGACAAGGCCCTGTGTGAAAGTTAGCAGAATTTGGGGAGGGGCTGCTTCCCAGCAAGTAAAGCATTTGCTGACACTAAACTGGGAAAAACAAAGGATCCTTTTCGCTATTGCTGACCTTCCTGAGTTGTTGTATTCTGAGCTCTATTTGTTTTGGTTTTCTTTCTTCACCCTGAGGTTGAAGAGCTGGACAGATTAGTGACTGCAAAGGCAGGATTTAAGCGGTATGTAACAAGCATGCTTACTCACCTAAATTTGGTGTTAGCAAAGTGTGGCTCCTGCTGTCCATGTTGGCCCAGATTCCCCTAGCTGCAAAACTGACATCTGTGCTGCTGTTCACTTATCTCCCCTTGCCATCTTCCATTCCCAGTTGCAGCTTCCCACAGGAAACTTTACCTCCTAAATAGGCTGCTTCTACTTGTCTCCCTGTCAAAGCACGGCTGTCCATTTTTCCTCTGCTTTTCTCCCTCTCATCTGCACGCTGCCCAGAATTGACAGCCTGAATCTAAAGTTGTTCTCATCAGGGCAGAATGACAGCCCTCCACTTTAAAAGCCACGTCATTCCTTGCTCATAGTCTTGCAGTACCGTTGTATCTGTCTGGAGCACTCAACTTCTGTACTTATTTCTAGGTCTTACATGGTCACAGGGCAGACCTATAGCCGCAAAGTGGATATTGAAGTCCTGTCTGTCCTGGCCAGTCTTGGGGCATCTATACACAAGGTGAGCACCCTGTTTGTATACATCGGGAAGAAGGGGGGACATTTTAGATCTTGAAGTGAAGGTGCTCATGGTGCGGAACGCCTTTCTCAAGAAACATTAATTGGTGTTCCTTGTTCAGCTGTTCTCTTTGTAATCATGTAAATTCACAGCTAGGTACATGCCTAGTAATCAGACCTCAAAGATCTTAAGACCAGTGGCAAATAAAGAAAGTTTACTGAGCAGATTCTAAGATTGCTTAACAAATCCCGTACCAGATATTAGTCTACTCTATGCTAAATTGATCAAATTATAGTAAATGTCTTTCCTAGTGGTGTACGAGTTTTTAAATTTCACCGTTTGCTCCTAGTTAATTGCTTCTCTGATAATGGTGTTATTTTCTCTGTCCTTGTGGATTCTTTTTATTGATTTATCTCTGTTCCCTCCCTCCTCCTTCTCTTGGGCTAAAGTGATCTGTGGTATTTTCTTCTGGTTTAGTTTTGTAGGCTGTCTGGTTCAGTGAGCACACGTTATCTGTGTTTGCAAATCACTCTGTAATTTTGTTATGCATTTTCAGTGTTCCCTCCTGATCTGTCTTCCATTCCCTGCAAACATTTGCCCTTCTTAGAGTCCTGTTCTATTCTAATACAGTGGATGTGCTTTTTTCCTTATGTTTTCTCAACTGGGATTTTTAGGCCAGGAAGTATGATTGCAGTGTCAATTTTTTTGTCAAATTTTTCACCATTCCCCAGTTTACTTCTTGGACACAGATGCAAACACTTCTCCAAGAATACTAACAGGAGTATATATTGGTGTGTATTTGTTTGGTTCTGTTTGTTAATTTCTTGGGCTTTTTTCTAGATTTGTACTGACATTCGTCTTTTGGCCAACCTGAAGGAGATAGAGGAGCCTTTTGAGAAAGACCAGATTGGTAAGGGATGGGAGACATTTCTTGGACTGGTGTATGCATCTTTTCATTTATGTTGGTACAGCCTTTTAAACAAACCTAGAAATGTCACTGACAGAAGTTGCTTTAAATTAATTGGGGTATGACATTGTTAGTATTTTGGCTCCTTTTTAAAGAAAAAGAAGGGGGGTCGGGGGGAGCGCTTTACCCAAAGGTTTCTGGATATTAAGTAATTAAAATCAGATTTGTATTTGTGCACTTCCTGGGTTTGCGGGGAGAGCAGAAGCAGTCATGTATGACCCATTCCCCACAGAGGAAGACTTGGGTCTAAGGAGTACTTAGTGTTTTCCATTTGACGTGAAGCTTACAGGAGCTGCAGGTTTTCAGCTTGACTCAGCACTTTGGTCTTTATAAATAGACAAATTTGGAACAATGAAATTAGGCTGGACCCTTGCCAGAAGAATACTGATGATGTGATCCTGGCATTGATGTAAGGGAAGAAGGAACGTAGAGTTTTGGATCTTGGCTGGAAGAAAGTTCAGGCCCCCTAAATAGTTGCATGGGATTGAATAGTCAAATTAAGCCTTAGTCGTATCTGTTACTGGAACAATTCTACATTCTATGGACAGTTTTGATATCCATTCACCAGAGCAACAAGCAGTAGTATAATTATGTGACTTTGAAGGACAGTGTTATTGAGCAGATGAGGTCTTGAACACTGCTAAGGTTGCCATGGGTAGCCTCAAGAGATGGTGCTAAATACAGCATTAAAAATTAAGTCCATTTGTTCTTTTTATGTGGTAGTACTTCTTCTGTTTTGCAGAAGTGCAAAATGTCTTCTTACTTTTTTCTCTCCACATTTGGATGTTTCTAATGTGAAGGGGAAAAGTGTGGTGGTGTCATTTTCTTTATTCCATTCTGTCCTTAAAAAAGCATCATATTTTGAGACTTTAGTCAAAAACATGATTCCTGACACATTTTTCTTATCTGGGGGAGGACCTTCATCTCATCTTCCTGAATGCACTACTTCTGTCACTCCATTTCCATGGCTCGCTCTCCTTTCACAGGTTCAAGTGCTATGCCCTACAAGAGGAATCCAATGCGTTCAGAACGCTGCTGCAGCCTGGCTCGACACCTGATGACTTTGGTGTTGGATCCCCTCCAGACAGCCTCTGTGCAGTGGTTTGAGCGAACGCTGGACGACAGCGCCAACAGGTTTGTTTAGATCGTGCAATGTGGCAATTTCAGAAGGTGTTGTGCAGGAAAGTCCTTTGATGTATTTAGAAAATACTATTTTTAAAGTAAAACCGCAAGTTACCACCTTGATGAGAAGCAGTCTCAGTCAAATCTAGACACTACAAACTGGTTTCCTCTGTAAGATCAGATGAAAACTGTTAGGTTTTTTTAACGTCAAGATCCTCTGCAAACTGAACCAGCAGAGAGAGGGAGGGATGCAGAAACCATGGTAATAAATTGTTCTCGTAGTCTTCCTGTTTCAACAGCATAGTACAGCAGTTCTTACATTTCTCAGATTTTCCTCCCTGTCTGTTTTGAATGAGGTTTTTGACCCTGCTCTTCACCACTTCTCAAAGAATAATTCAACATTTTATCTGTAATCCCTTAACCCTCCAAATAATCTAAAGAAACTTTTTTTATCTCTTTGTAAAGTGTTGTTCTTTACAAAAAGTAGTTCAGATCCTAAAGAAAGAGCACAAACTTTTTTTTTTTCTTAAGTAATGTTTCATGAAAACCTGTGCAGGTCTTTTAGATATTCCTCAGCAAACTTTGCTTTGTTTTCTGATTTTCATTATGACTGTTTTGAGATGAGCAAAAGTTATCTATAATTATCAAGTAAATTATAGCAATTAAATTCAATGCTTCCATCTTCCAGTTAGTACTAAATTTACATAAAGCTCATGTTTACCTTTGAAACGTTTTAGTTTCAAAGTAGTCTTCTGTTGCAGAATTTGATCTCCTAGAATCTTAGAAATCTTTATATTTTTATATTTCTAAGATACGGGGCTTGTGGAACAATGAACAACTGCAGTTTTGGCTATAGACTAGTGTTAAGATTGTTGATGAGAATTATTTTAAAAATGTCTCCACAAACATAAAATTTCATGAAAGCATAGAAGATCTTTTATCAAAAGGACTTGACTCCGCAGCTGTTTGTCTTGTTAAGAAAAGAGCTGCATAGGCAGCAGAAAACAATGTAAATTTAAGAAACTGGATACTGGTTGATATGGTGCCTTTATTTCACCAAACCTACCAAGTGTTGAGAGATGTACTGGAATGTTTCAGATTTTATTTTCTCCTTATCTAATAGAAAGGGTCATTTGTCCATAATCCAACTAAAAAATTCCGTGCCTTGGATTTTTTTTGTCAAAGCTGATGTGTTCTGAAAGGAGAGCAAGCCAGAGAAAATGCAAACAACCTACAAAACAGCCACGTCTTTTTGAAGACAATGTGATAGACTTGAGGGCCTTAAATATAGCACAAGAGTCAAGTACTAGTATATTTTAAAAGATAACAGTTTAGAATGGGCCAGGCATTCTTTTTGTCATTCCTTTTTGCCAGGAGCCTCCTTTGTGACCAGGAGCTGGTCTCTTGCAGGAAGCCCCCACCAAATGCATGGATCACTTTGGAAATTCCCTACTAAGCACAGCATGTGTGTGCAGCATGTCCTCATCCTGGAGGGTAGGATCAGTAGACAGGGCAACACAGAACACAGGGGAAGGTAGTCTCATGTGTTTGCTAGCCCTGTAAATTGCTGCCTTCTTTCCTGGCTGTGTAATCATTGAATTATCTTGGAGCTTTCCATGTGTGCCCTCACACTTTTTCTTCCTCTCTCCCGCTCTCTCTACTGACCAAAAAAACCCAAACCCAACACCAAAAAACCCTCCTTTCTCCCCAGCTTGAGAGCTACTGCTGTAGGACGTTCTTTAGCTTTCCTTGTTGTGATGTTTAAGCAACAAGAAGCACCCATAAGGAGAACAGTTCCAGGGCCACAGTAATGCTATTTACAGAATTATGACTAAACTAAAGAGCTGGATCTGAGGTAGACTGGAACATGGCCTTTATTGCTAACTGGGGCCCTGGGTATGTGTGTTTCATAGGCGCGTGTGTCTTGCTGAGGCTTTCCTCACAGCTGACATCATTCTGAGTACACTGCAGAATATCTCCGAGGGACTTGTGGTATATCCAAAGGTAAAGCAGGAAATAATGTGTGCAGTGTTGCATCCTTGATAACGCTGCAACTATGCCAAAGTGTATAAAAATCCTCTCAAAGGATTACATTTTTATCTGTTTAAACAGTTTCTGATTTTTGCTCTCCATTCTCACTATATTCTCACTGCAAGACAGACATGAAAGGGTACTTGTTGAAGCCAAAATTTCTCAAAAAGGATATTTTTCCCCAAACTACATGACGGATCTGTAAAACTTAGCACCAAAAGATACTGTCAAGGAAGATCTCATACAGTCTTGTAACTTACCTAGAGGTTAAAAAAAATGATTTGTTGTGCATCTTTTACACAGTAATGTCCCTTACAAGATACAGCTTCTAAGTATTATCAGCTTCGATACCTGGATTTCCACAGCTAAGTTCAAAAAGAGGAATTATCTTTGCATCATTGTACAGTCCTAGAGATTCAAAGGGGGAGGAAAGCTTCACCCGGAGTCCCAGTTGTCTACAGAATTGCTATAATGCTGTTCTTTTTTTCTCTTTTGCTTAAGGTGATTGAGAGGAGAATCCGGCAAGAGCTGCCGTTCATGGCCACAGAGAATATAATCATGGCAATGGTGAAAGCAGGAGGCAATCGTCAGGTACAAATGCAGTCAAAAATACCTTTGTTCACTGCTTGGCATTCGGCTCCTGAGAAACAAAAGTACTTGGGCTCTTGTCCTGACCATCTCGCCTTTCTTTGTTCTCCACCTACTCCCACAGAGTTATTAATATTCCACTGGTGCTGCAAAGCCAGACTCTGCTCTCTGAGGAGAGAGCAGTTGTGGAGATCTGTATTTTCTGTTGGGAACACTGTGTGTTTGAGCTAATCTGTCTGTCTGTGCTGGAAAAGAAGGAGACCTATTTTTATATTAGATACTAGTAGGCGTTTTGCTTTTGTAAATGTTTGAAGGAACTTGGAACATAGGCCAGCCTTCTTTAAATGGAACATGTTGGCAGTTGGCTACCTTATAAATTATAAGAATGAATCAGTGCTGTTAACAAAAAAGCAAGTAAGACACACTCATTCATGTGTCACTCTTCCCTAATTCAGTATAGTGCGTTTTATTATTAACTTTGTTTATGGTCCTTCATTCAGTTCTCTGTGTTGAAGCAAATTGAAATTAAATGTTTTCCTTAGTAAATAAATCCAAACACAATTCGATTACATTTCCTTATCATTTAATTTCACAATTCAGTTTAAACTGATAATCAAATTTACATCTTAATAAAACAGCTTATTTTCACTTACCTTTAGATGGTAATTTTTCCTTCTATGATTATTTCCGCATCAGGGACAGAAGTTAACCTTGCAAGATAGTAATAGCAGAAGGGCTTGTTAGAAGCTTTGAGTAGGATATGTGGTTCTAGTTCTCTGAAACACATGTGGCAACTGACCCATGATGTTAGTCAGGAAACATCATTCCCCCCTCCCCGCCTTGTGTCTCTGATGTTTGTCACTGGGTCAGTCAGTAAGCTTCCTAACTAAACGTATTAAGGGTCACATCATGTAGATAAGTTTCAATATATTTTCAGCTGGTTCTCTTTCTAAAGTATCCCGTGCTTACTTAAATGGTCCTCTCAATTTTTATTAGATTGAAGAGTGAATTTAATTTGTTTGTTATTGGCCTACCTTCTGTCTGGTGCTGTTTAATTGCAAACCTATAGAGTTTAATACATTTATGTAAGATGTTCATATTCGCATTCATGTGTTCTGTTTTCATGTGCTGGGAACTCTGGAACAGCACATTGTCTATGCTTTCCCACATCATAGCACAGAAACTCATTTCCTTTCCCCACTACTAAACAGCGCTCTCCCCTAAACGTCCAGAAAACAGATTTGTTCACCTGAGGCAGGTCAGTGCTGGAGCAAGATGGCATTTGGCTGGAGGAAACAAGGAACGGGAGATCATTTTCCTCCCAACTGAGGATAAATCATGGACAATACATTTGAGGAGAAGATTCTTACATGGGTCTAAATGCAACACGACGGGCCAGCATGGCAGCACCTGATTTTGCAGGTGGTGCCTGACTACAGTTCTTGTTTTTACAGATTGATTCCTCAGGAAGTCAAGAGGTTAGGAAGTCTTTCAGAAAAATTGTTATAAGATTGTTGCCAGTCTTAGTGCTATGTGAGGGTTCTTTGGGCGAGAATGTCTTAAGACCCTCAGTTTTGTAAGGTTTTTTTCCCTTCAGTCTGTCCTTAATGTAAACTATGGTTTACATAGTCTCACTGCTCATTAAGTTAGACAGGTTCTTTTCCCTTTTCCAAACCTGTAGAGGTTTTACATTGTTATGCTCCCAACATGTTCCATACAGGGGTTGACTAGTGGTGAAAAAGGAATTCCTGTATTTCAGTTCATAGAATATGTTGTGAACAGCTACTTTAGTCTGTCTGTGGGAAAATCACGCAAGTAGGGAGTAGAACAACTGAAAAAAAAATCCTATAGTGACTCCTGAGAGTATATGGGGAGTTTGAGGAAGTGTAAAGATTCCAGTGTCGTAAGTCTGTGGTATAACAGGGAACATGTGTGTCATTTGGACTGGTTTAGCCTCAAAAGGACAGACGTGGAAGGATGAATAAAATCTTGTTTTAATACAGTGGTATGAGACACTGCAGTCCAAACTGTGTCTCATTTGTATGCTGTCCAGTGCTGTAAGCTTTGACATTTCTCCTTCCTGTGCATGGTAGCAGCACGAACGTGTGCCGTCAGTAGCAATGGAATGACTTTTTTCTTTTCCCCTCCTCTTCCCCCTGCTCCTGCAGGATTGCCACGAGAAGATCCGTGTTCTTTCCCAGCAAGCAGCTGCTGTTGTGAAACAGGAAGGGGGTGATAATGACTTCATTGCCCGTGTCCGCGCTGATCCTTACTTCAGCCCTATCCATAAACAACTTGAAAGCCTGTTGGATCCCTCCTCCTTCACTGGCCGTGCTCCTCAACAGGTAAAGTAGTGGAAAGAGGCTACAGGTGTTAAAGGTTGTAATGCAACGTGTTGTTTAATCCTGCATCCTCTTGTGTGCCAGAGAGTGTACATATTACATACCTCTGCCCATACTGCTAAGGCAGACATTTCTCCCTTTTGTTTTCCTTGGCTTCCTTGTCTTTCCTTGTGGGCTTCACAGTTTTGATCCTGGATGTATCAGGCTTCTAGGTGTCCCTGTGAAACCCCAGTGAGACGAGCAGGTCTGAATGGGGAGGAGAAGGGAACCCTTTCTTTTGCTAATTTTCCCTTTCCCATCTTTCCTGAACAGGTGGCAAAGTTCCTGAAAGAGGAGGTTCGACCAGCGCTGATTCCATACCAAAGCAAGATGGGTGGGAAAATCGAGCTGGCACTTTAGGTATATTCTGCAAAGGTGTGTGGGTACAGGAAGATAATAAAAGCCTTATTGAACCAGGTCTGTTTACTGTGTCATGTTATTTTGGTTCTCTACAGTACGTTTAACCCCCAGAGCTTACAGCCACCTTGATTCCAGATGGGCTTTTCATTCTTTGCTGTTTAATCAAGCCTCCATCTATTGTGTGCTGAGGTACTGAGAAACAGTTGATTGTGACAAGGTAACTTCATCACAGTACCTTTCATTGGCCCCTTATAGAGCACTACCACCTGTTTAAAGAGCAATGCCAGGTGCTGCCTGACACTCATGTATGACTGACTTGTTGAAGAGCAACAACTTGTTCAAGAGGCCTCTCCCACTTCCATCTTATTCATCTGCTCTTAAACTTTCTCCACATATGTCTCAAAAGATGATAAAAGGTTGTCCTGGCTTTCAGAGTACTGTGATTTGGGGAGCAAATAGGCCAAAAAATTAGGAATAATGAAAGGGAGAGGCTGTGGAACTTACTGGTTCATCAAACTGGTGGTCCTTCAGTGCTGCCTTCTTGGTTTAATACTGTACCTGTAGCTCTGTAGCTTCTGAAAATCATGTTTACAGGTGTGGGTTAGGAACCAGCCATTGAGATTTCCTTTTCCAGGTCCTTGGCTGTAGGTGTCTGATATTGAATGGCAGGTGGACTCTGGCATGTGAAAGTCCTGCTCTAATGCAAGTAAGTTTTGTGTGATACGGAGAGAAAAAATATGTTGGAATTCATTGGATACCAGAGAAGTTCAAGAGCTTTGGTCTTATTTCTGACCCTGAATGTTCCATTTTGTAATGTCTGTGCTTTACTGACATTCAGTACTGGACCAAACTCTTCTCCCTTTGACTTAAACTGGAATGATTCCCTTACCTCTTCTTCCAGTGTTGTTACATCACAGCACGTTTCTTTTGCTTCAATGCAATAAAAGGTTCCCTCTTACCTCTGTTACTTATTCAGACTCTCAGAGATGACATGATCAGAATTATTTGATTCTTTTTGAAGTATAGTTGCTAGAGAGAATTAAGAAAAGCAAAACTAATTGAAAGAAGCTACCTGCTCTCCTTTGAGGCCACCATTGTTTAAAGAGGATTTCAAAATACAGTATGTTTTAATGAGGCTTGTCTGTATTAAGTAGTCAGAGAAGTGAGAAGCTTCTGGCCATGATCTCCCCTCATCTAGCTGAATGGCTCTGGCTTTACCTTGCCTCTAGACTGGCATTCAAAATGTCACAAACATTGAGTTTTTTGGTGTTTAAAACATTTTGTCTGCTCATGCTATTAATGTTTAATTAGCCATTTGTTTGAAAAGGATAACTCTAATTGAACACTGGTAATTTTTAAACTATTACTCAAATGGATAGCCAAGAAAGAAGATGGATAGATGCGGAAGTCCTCCTTTTTTGGTCCTCTTTCCTCCTTTGTGGGATTAAAAAAAACAACCGACCCAGTGCAGAGAAGAGGAACAGCTAACGTATCTGTCCTCATCATCTGGAAATAAGTCTTTGTGCTAGGTAGAGGCTGCCAGCTGTGAGGCATTGGCCTTGTTTTCCTGGAAAGTTTAAAAAGAATAACAATGACCCAGGGAAAGTGTCACCCTCCTAGAAAACTGCAGCGTGATACACACAAATCCCTTGGGAGGCTCCTACTTCTCGTTAGAAGAGCTCAGTTTGGGACCACGCTTTTTGTTTCCCAGCGGAGTTGGCAGAGGCACCAGCCAGGGATGGAGTTCCCCCCTCACCTTGGTCGTTGGGAGTGGGTCACCAAGACGTGACCTTGGCTAATTAACAAGGCCAGATCACTCTGACAGTTGACTCCGGTACCTGTAGCCCTGTAGCGTCTGCGAGAGATACCACCAGTAAAGCGGCTGTGGGTCCATGCCCTCCTTGGAAGAGAAATTAATCTAGACCTGAATGATGGAGAAGAACCGAGCC